TTTTTTTTTTTTTTTTTTTGGAGACAGGAGTCTCAAGCTGTCCTCTTGTGTAGAGTGCTGTTGCATCACAACTCACATCAACTTCCAGCTCTCTTGGGCTCAAGCGAGCCTCCTGCCTCAGCCTCCTGAGTAGCTGGGACCACAAGCACCCGCCACAATGCCAGGCTATTTTTTGGTTGCAGCCGTCATTGTTATTTGTTTATCCACCAAAATAACAATACCTCGCGCCTTAGCCACTTGAGCCACAGGCCCTGAGCCCCTCACCCAGTTTCAATGGAGAATTTCAAGTGATTGACATTTCAGAGCCTATTAAATACTAGTCATTCTTTTTTTCTTTTCTTTTGTTTCCTTCTTTTTTTTTTTTTGAGACAGAATCTCACTATGTTGCCCTGGGTAGAGTGCTTGGGCATCACAGCTCACAGCAACCTCAAACTCTCAGGCTTAAGCAATTTTCTTGCCTCAGCCTCCCAAGTAGCTGGGACTACAGGCACCCGACATAACACCTGGCTATTTTTGGTGGCTATTTTTTGGTTATACTTGTCATTGTTGTTTGACAGCCCAGACTGGGTTCAAACCCACCACCTCCGATGTATGTGGCTGGCATCCTAGCTGCTGAGCTACAGGCGTTGAGCCTAAATCCTAGTCATTCTGAAGAGATCACATCCAGACGCTGCCCTCAGAGGCTTAGAGCATGGCATGGAGAAGGGTTCTGTTACTAACGAGTTACGACTCTTGGGGGACAAAGTGGAAACTCACTGAGGGGGGCAGAGTTTTAGAGACAGAGGGTGTGTCTTGGACCCCAGGGCAAGATGGCAGCCGGTCTTAGGCACCAGAACCAGGATGTGGGTGCTCTGGGCCAGTTCCCATCCTGGCCGTTGCTCTTATTTGCTTCTGGTGAGGAGGCAGACTCTTGGGAGGGCTGCTGGCGCCAAGTGGCTTCTGACAGACCTGGGAGCATGGGCACCTTGGGGCACTTTCACTTACATACCAGCATGTTAGCATCCCTGGGCTTGGCCACTGAACGTGGGCAGCACTCCCATTATTGTGACAATCAAAAAGTGTCCCCACATATTTTCAGACACCTTGGCATTCCTGGGCCGTTGGCCTCTTCTCCTTAACCACAGCTGAGTGAACTAGGATTTGAATGTGGGAAGGGAGTTAAGTATCCAATCAGGATGGCTAGAACCTTGTGGGAAGAGAATTTCCCTGGAGAAGCGATGCTGAGCTAACCACCCCCTTGTGTCCACTACTTGCGAGCACCCGGCTTATGGTGCTTGTCGTTGGCCTGTGTTTGTTGAGCGCCTCTGATAGGAATGGCTTGCTTCTCTGTGCTGTAGTGACAGGCAGGTCTTACTTGTCAGCTGGCATTTGTCAAGTGAATGAAAGGGTGGGTACCCCAGCTGAGTGTGGGAGGGGTGTTCCAGCTCACTGCTTTTAGTCCCAGTTTATAATTGATCTTTGTTTTCTGTGCTTTGTTTGATCATAACATTGTTTTATCTTTAAAATTATTTTGGGGGTTACAAAATAATTTGAGGGTTTGAGCTTCTCCCCTCAACACCTTGGCCACGTTCCTCTGTGGCTTGAGGACAGGAAGGAATGGCAGACCTTCCTGTCAAAGCTGCCACCAAGCACCTTAGGGTAGTCAGTGGGTATCTTCACAGTTGTCACCCTTGAGGCATCTGGAACATAATATCGATATGCCTGAATTGATGCTTTAGCTTTCTTTTCCTTGTGTTTGTTGCAATGGAAGGTAATAGTCACCTTCAAGTTTTTTTGATAATCAAGCTTAGAACCATAGCCAAGTTTGGGTGTAGAATAAAAGGCAGTGAAGCCTCTGGTCCTCAGTGCCTGGCACATGGGACTCATGGACCTTTGGCGGGCACGGTGCCACTAAGTGAGTGAGTAAGCAAGTGAATGGACCGACCAGGAAAGCTAATAGACTCAGAGAGGCCTGTAGAAAATTAGAAAGTGGCAGTGGGAGGAAGCTGCTTTCTTGGTAGTCTTTTCAAGGTTTTTTCTAAGTGGACGGGCAATTGTGGGAGGTACAGCCCCTGTTGGTCTTTCCCTGTTGCCCGGGGGGACTTGCTTGCTTTATGTTTTCCATGAGTGCCCCTTGGAGAGCCCTGCTTTTGCTGCAGATGTTTTCTCTCTCGGTGCTGGTTGTTTGTTGTTTTGAGAAGTGCACACACCTGCCTGTTTCTGAATGACTTACTACATTGGTTGCTTTCCTTTGATTTGGTTTTGCTTGTTCTTGAGATGAGCAGTCTTTTTTTTCCTTCCCCCACCCCCCAGATGAGCGGTCTTGATACATGTACTATGCAACTCCCCGTTCTGCCTGCCTTAATTTTGGTGTTACATAGATGTGCCTATAAGTCATGAGTATTCATTTTTCTGTCTTGAAGAGTAATTCTTGACTTGAAAAGGTGGACTCTGTTGAAGTCTGTACTTGAGTGTAGTGCAGGACTCTGCCTCCCATTCAGATAGAGGGAGAGTAATTTATACACGTGGACGCTATGGGTGATGATGGACATCGGGTCTGCTGGGAGGGTCATGCAAAATGCTCTTTAACTATGAGCAGACTCCCTGCGGATAAGGGCATTTTTCTAGGGACAGGCCAAAGCTCTCTTCAGCTCTTCTAGAGGTCCATGATTGCTGAAGAATTCAACCTACTGGATCAGAAGTTCTGGTGGATTGACTTTTTTTTTCTCTCATTTTAAAGGCAGATCGAGAGCGGTGCTGAGAAAAATTTCCTTACTAGATGACATTTCATCGCAATGTCCGATCGTTTGGGGCAAATAACCAAGGGCAAAGATGGGAAAAGCAAGTATTCGACTCTCAGCCTGTTTGACAAGTATAAAGGAAAATCAGTAGACGCCATTAGACCCTCAGGTAAGGCCTGGGGCAGGGCCAGTTCTTTAAGCCTTTCTTTTTTTTTTTTTTTGAGACAGAGCCTCAAGCTGTCCCCCTGGGTAGAGTGCCGTGGCATTACAGCTCACAGCAACCTCCAACTCCTGGGCTCAAGCGAGTCTCCTGCCTCCACCTCCCAAGTAGCTGGGACCATAGGCGCCCGCCACAACGCCCGGCTATTTTTTGGTTGCAGCCGTCATTGTTGTTTGGCGGGTCCAGGCTGGGGATTCGAACCCGCCACCTTAGGTGTAGGTGGCTGGCGCCTTAGCCGGTTGAGCTATAGGCGCCGAGCCAAGCCTTTCTTTAGTAAGAAATTCCCTTAGGTGGTCAGTACACATCTGTCTCCTGAGCATGCTGTGGCCACCCAGCAGTTCTAGGGAAGCAGAGTCGCCCTCTGCTTCCCATTCAAGGTGTGATTTCAGAGCCTTGAATATCCTGACTCTCCAGAGTAGAACGATTTCCCCATCTATCACCTTATTGCAGCCATGAATTTTTCCACTCTGATGGTAGAATGGAACTTAATTTTGCATTATGTTACCTGTTTTAGTTTTCTTTTCTTTTCTTTTTTTTTCTTTTGAGGCAGAGCCTCAAGCTGTCTCCCTGGGTAGAGTGCTGTGGCATCACAGCTCACAGCAGCCTCTAACTCCTGGGCTCAAGCGAGTCTCCTGCCTCAGCCTCCCAAGTAGCTGGGACCATAGGCACACGTCACAGTGACTGGCTATTTTTTGGTTGCAGCCGTCATTGTTGTTTGGTGGGCCGGGCTGGATTTGAACCCGTGGCCTTAGGTGTATGTGGCTGGCGCCTTAGCCACTTGAGCCACAGGCGCCGAGCCACCTGTTTTAGTTTTCACAGTTCTGCTATTTAGGAACTTGGTGGTAAAAGATCATGTTGATCCTCTCCACACCTCAGGAGGTTTGGGTCTAGGCAGAGGCTGTCCCTTTGTTCCACAGTAATGAGGCCAGAGCCGTTTCAGCTGGCAGCGGGATGGTTCTTGTGTGGGATAGTGATTTCTGGGCCTGACTCCTTACCCCGGAACTCTATGAGCCTTTTCGGGCTGACTTGTGAAACGGAAGCCTTTATACAGGTGGTCTTTTGTCTCTAGTCCTCAGTGAAGAGCTTGTTAAGTGACTGAAGTGGCTTCCAGACACTTCTGCTTGTCCCCACTGCTGACCTGCCTCTTGTTTGTTTGCTTGGCTTTGTCAAGATCAGCTAGAATGTGAAAGAAGAGCCGGATGAATCGTCCCCTTTCCTTCTGCGACTTCTTTGTAGAATGTCTGTTCCCACCCTTCTTTCCTGCAGTTATTCCTAGACATGGCTTACAGAGTCTTGGGAAAGTTGCCACAGCCCGGCGTATGCCACCGCCTGCAAACTTGCCAAGCTTGAAGTCTGAAAACAAAGGAAACGACCCCAACATTGTCATAGTACCCAAGGACGGGACAGGATGGGCAAACAAGCAGGACCAGCAAGACCCAAAGAGGTGAGCAGGTGGTGAGTCAGAGGCCAGAGCCCCAAGCTTGCGCCAACACCCTTCCCTGGGGCAGACACAGCTCTGGTCTCGCTGTGGCAGAGCTAGAGAGCTGGGGGGTACAAATGAAGCTTCTTTCTCCCTGACTCCTGTTGTTCATTGTTTCTTGCTCCCTGCCTTCATTTTTACTGGCTTTTAGAGCTAATGCTACAGCATTTCTGTGGACAGCCTGTCCCCAGTGTCCAGTGTCCCTGGTGCCTTGTTAGGAAAGGCCTCATCATCCCAGAGGAGCTTATGTAGTGACTCAGAGCCAGTCCCTGCAAGAACCACTGTGGGCAGAGCTGGTGCCTGGTGGTGGGTGGCCCTGTGTGCAGAGCTGCAGGTGGAGAGGGATGCAGCCTGCCTCACTCTGGGGCCAGCAGCTTCCTAGGCAGAGGAGGCTGCTCTGAGCAGACTCTGCTATCAGAACAACACAGAATCCTCGTTAGCTGGGATCACTGTTGAAGGGAACCTCCCTGGAGGCTTACCTCCTGCTTGCATAGCACTCAGGGAGGAAGCCTGAGGAGGCAAGATTTTGGCATGTTGTTGTTGTGAGAGACACAGAACACAAGGCCCGCAGCCCTTGTTTCCATCTATTGTGAGTCTTCTCACTGTTCAGTCAGTGGAGAGTGTGTTCAGGGAAGGGATCTGGGAGGGACAGGGCCTTGTCAAGGCTGACAGGCGTTGACCTGGTACGGTTTGTCTCTTGGGGAATGAAGACAAAAGTAGTCCAATATCATGTATCCTCTAGCACCTGTAGCTCTGCTGGTCTGACTGCTGACACTGGGAGCCGGACCAGAAGAGAGACCCAGAACTCAGCCTGCTGATGCGGGTCCTTTTCTTTCAAGCCTGTGCTGGAAATGACCACAACAGCTTGTGCAAAACTGTTCCCTGTAATTATTTAAGACAGGATGTAGAGAGTGAGTGAATAATTCAGCCAGATGATTACAAGGTATAGTAATAACCAAGATAGGGTACGTTATTTTAAAAATTTTTCTGGCCAGGTGCAGGAGCTCACACCTGTAATCCCAGCACTTTGAAAGACCAAGGTGGAAGGATTGCTTGAGGCCAGGAGTTCGAGACCAGCCTGGGCAACATAATAAGACCTTATCTCTACAAAAATTAAAAAATGTTTTTTCTAACAGTTTGCTTAGGGATGATATGGACTGGCAGCGAAGCCTGACTTCTGAAATCAGAGAGCCTACTGTGTGGTTTCCTGCCAGACCATTACGAGCTTAATAGAACCTGGAGAATTACTTGACTTTTGACTCTCAGTGTCCTCCCTAGAAGTAGGAATGGGATCTGGCTGCAAGGGTGATTACGAGGAATCAGTCAAGAATCAATGGAATGACATAGGCCAGATACTTGGCATAAAGGAGGGGCAGATGCTGGCCATTGGTGTCACTCCATTTAGACGCACACATCTTGAGCTGTGTAATGGAATGGATGTGACACATTTTGGTGGAAGCACTAGAATGCCTTTGCTGCTGTCAGTTTTAGAGAGAAGCAGACAGAGCTTCACTCCTTGCTCTTACGCAGCCTTACCTAGCATGGGCACTGAAGGCATAAGATGGCTCTAATGAGGGCCTGTCTTGTGGGAGCTTGTCTGCTAGGGAGGAGGGAAGGGGGGAGTGTTGGAGAAGGCAGCAGTCCCTAGGTGTGATTCTCTGCTGCCCTGGACCATATCCTCCCCCTAGGGTATCAGGGAGGTGGCAAGTGGGGAGCCCACAGGTGGGGACTCAGTGGTTGAGTCTGGAGAACATAAGCGCCACTACCTGGAAGCTTCTTTTTAGGTGGAAGGTGATGTGAGAGCATGATCAATGGTCTTCATTTTGGAGTAATCATGAATGATGAATTACTTGGGAAAGGGGAACCTGGGAAGAGGGCGTCTGTACGGAGTTTGCTTCTACTTTCAGATAAGCCATCGGGAGTGGGTGGATTTTTACCAAGTAGATCTATACCCTCTTTGAATCCTTTAGAGTGGAAATAGAAAGCGTGACTAGAGAGCTGCGGAGTCAGAACAGAAATCTTCATTTGGGGCCTTTTCTTGTTGCTCTCACAACAGATTACTCGTGGGGTGTGAATTCACTGACAACCTTTTCTTTTTCTTTTTCTTTTTCTTTTTTTTTTTTTTTTT